GAAAAGTGCAATTATTTCCTTCGTAAGAGCTATTTTGCAGCTAGTTTTTTCTGCGAGCAACCGTATATACAATATTTTATCTTTGACGCGTATAAGCTTTAATGTAGCTTCGAAGTAACAATTTACAGTTTCTCGAAAAGACGCGTGATCAAAGGCGCGATTCCCCCCCTCTCTCACTCTCTCTCTCTCTCTCTCTCACGGTCCCCCCGTCGCCGCGTCTCTGGTTGGCACTTACGCGGAAAAACCCGGTGATCGGCACGCGGAATATCGCGGAAGAGGGACGTTCGTTGACACGCCGAGACACGAGATCACGACGACGCCCTCATTAAAGCGCGATCTCGCGAATAAATTCACGAAGAGCCGTACGATCGAGGCTCTTACAATCGGGCCCCCTCGATACGTACGTTACATCGCCGGCCCACGCCTGCCCATATAAGGACTGCCCACACGCGATATCTATCGTCCAAGGTATCGATGAGCAATTACAGATTGAGAGGCTGACCTTGGTCCGGCAGGAAAACCGTGTGAGAACCGGCTGCACGATCGTCGATCAATCTAGCCGTTTTGCCTCTCGACAGATTGATTTTCCACGCGCGCGTGCAAGCGGGATTTAATACATAATATTAAATTTAATTAATTGCAAAAGTGTCATTATACGATATATGAAGGTATACTAACACTTTGTATACTATGTTTAATTGGGAAATAATTCCGACGGAGGAGTAAAAATTTCATTAAAAAGTAAGTAAGCAAATCCCGTAATCCGCCTACGAATAGTTCCAACTTGGAAACTCACCGCAACGAGATCACCTAGAAAATTTCTTTCCCACGAGCAACGTGACAATGCGAAATTGAGGTCATTCGCTACGTTGCGTAGGAATTGCGGCGAATAAGATCAGTGAGGTTAATCAGATCGGAAAGAAAACGATAAGGTCGCCCATTCCGGCGTTAACCCGCGACAGTCTCATAAGCGAACGACACGATTGCAACTGATTGCTGAACACTATTACCATACATCCATATGTATCTTTCCGATCTGGAAAATAATTAACCGTCGTATGCGAACAGCCAAAATGTTCCGAGGAATTATTCCAAGTAGAATGTCAACGAAGTTCCTTTTATAATTAAATGTATATTAATGAACAGTTGCGCTGAAAGAATGAACTATTTTATAACGAGAGATTTAATTAGAAAAATATACTTTTCTTAAAATATTCAAGTATCTTGATACTTAAGTAATAAACAAACGAATTAAATTTTACTCAATTAAAAACTCATTTTTTTTGTGGAACAAGCTCTCATTCTTTCAATAAACAATTCAATTCTTCCAATAGTATTTCCAGTTATTTTTAATTCTAATCATCGCTGATATCATACGTGCAGTAATTTTCAAGGTAGAAATTATATTTTTAAACTTCTGTAATTTTTCATTCTACAATTTTTCTACAAATTCTTCAGCATTCGCCATTTCTTCTCCCAAAAATGGAAATTACCATTACGAAAATTTTTATTCTTTAAGATAACACGCAAGCTCATTTGAGAGACGCGTTCTATTTGAAACGCAACGAAAAAGTTCCTGAATCGCGGAGAGTGTGTCACTCGTGAACGACGGCGCGACGTTGAAAGTTCAGGTGTGAGGGACCTTACAATTAGTGAGATCTCGACGGGACGAGACGAGACGCGGTCGTTTACGATCGTCCGTGATCTCGCCGTTGCGTGATTGAGCAATGACAAAGGTTTTCGACCACGCAACAGCGTCCCACGTGCATCAACGCGTCGTGAAGCGCTTAATTCCCCGACGATGATCCACTAACGATGACGTGGGCGACATAAAGACGATATCGATAAATTGAAATGAAAATGATCGGCGTTACATCCTGAACAGAAACAGAAAGAACGAAACGTATGTACAGATGGTTATAGAGAATTTTCGGACCTTTCGTCTCAGTTAATAATATCATCAATTGTTCCAGATCAAAAGATCTGTAATATAAATATAATATAAAAATATAATATAAAAATAAATGTAATATAAATATAATATTTAATATATTCAAGAGCGATTGTAACGATAAAGTTGTGATACATTCACCGTGGAGCATTCGGATGAAATGAGATGCGTGAGATCCTCTCGCGATCACGTGTAATCCTGCATTCTAATGTCGTATAATTATATGTTTCACGTGATATTATATTCCCTATTTCTCGTGTGAATTCTTTCTAATTAGCTTTTGAATAAAATATGTTTCAGATTTAAAAAAAAAACCTGATTTCTCTCTCTCTTTCCACAGCTTCGTCCGCTCTACCCCTCCACTCCTATCACCGTTTCAAATTAACACCGCGCCTCGTATAACGAATCGCTGATTAACGCCAGACGTACTTAGAATTTTATCTTCACGTGCGATGGCTTCTTCTGCGCGCGCGCACGCACAGCCGGGAAATTCCTTTCGGCTTGTCAGAACGACCGAAACGGCGCGCGATTAGAAAATTAACGCGCGGCGCACCTGCGTTACGATCGTTACGTTGGCGGAGTTGCGTGAAAAGCGGCACGCGATGATGATCCTGTGGCCGAGCACGTAATTCCATGCTATAATCGCACGTGAAGGAAACTTCTCCACCTTCCTGATTATCAATTGCAGAGATTAATTATACGAAAGAGAGAGAAAGAGGGAAAAAGAAAAGGAGGAAAATATCCCCGTGCACCAAGTATATAATCGCGTGTGTGACTTATCCGTCGTCGACGTACTCCGACCTTGTCGATTACGTTCTCGCGATTAACGATCGCGAATCATTACCGCGAACCATGTTATCCCCGCGCGGTGGCGGGAACCACGCTCGCGTTTCGCTCGTTTTAATTATGCCCATGCGACCCAATTACGTCGCGCCCGCGCGCTTAATTGCGACGACTTCACTTCCGACCGATATCGACCTGCATCTCGATCCGCTCTCGCATTTTCCCTAGTTTTCCCTTCGCTTATTGTTGTTAATCGAGACACGCTTTCCCTCCCGCCCTCCTGCCGTTCGGAGTTTAATTGTAAACTGAATTTTTGCCATTCCTGGCAGTTTAAGTGCCGCGTAGCTCGGTTTTTTTTCGCCAGGGGACGAAACCGAAGGAAGGATTTTCCGGCGATTGTTTCGCAAGATAATTACTCGGGGAAGGGGGGAGGGAGCTTGGGAAACTCACCTCTACTTTGTAATTTCGATACACGCGCGTGATACTCGTCGTCACGGTATTTCCTAATCCATCTGGTTTTTATGAGGGAACTATCATTTAGCCTTTGCCGCGTAAAGGGTATAATTAAGTACATTAGGCGTAATCGGCGTCAGAATGATGGCTGGAGCGCTTTGTTTCAGGCTCATTCTCACATACATGAGCGTAGATATAACAATAACGATTCGAAGTAAGGATAAACATTTAAAATCTTGATACAACGTTTCCGACTTCGCCGGCGCGTTAAACGCGATTTAGTAATCTAACGACTATCATCGTTATCGGTTTTGACGACTTATTTTATTTTATCGTTATTATCGGTGCTATCTCTTATCGGCGTCTCAGCCGATTTATATTAGACGACGACAGCGCCAGCGAATTCGGGGAAAGTCTCTCGTACACTGAGAAAAAAGTCTAATAACAAATAAAAATAGTAACAAATAATCAAGCCTAGACGATAATTACTGATGCCTTGATGAAATTCAAACAAATGTTAATATAATCAAAATTAACTAAATGCTAATTTCACTTTTGTAAATATTAATAATTAATAATTACTACTAAACGGCTGGTTACTATTATGTTTGATTCACTAGATAACCTGCACCAATACGTCAAACAAAATACATTTGGTATAGCTACCACTAGACTTTTTTCTCGGTGTACGTTCGGAGAAAAAAAAAAAGTGTAAACTCACGTTTTCGGGCTGGGACGAACGCCTCTGCCGCGGCACACAGAAGAGCGGCACGCCGCTTTCCCGCTTCCTCTCCAATATAGCGGCTTCCGGTTTCCCCGTTGGAGCACCAAGACGTAACCTCGACGCGCCCGCCGCCGGCCGCGTGGACACCTCCTCGCGCAGCTTCTCCTGCCTTGTTTACACCACGTTTCTCTCGGCTCTTCCTCTCTCGCACAAATCACGAACAAATCAACAACGAATCGCGCATCCGGCGATCACTCACGCGGCTCCGAGCACCACTTTTCTCCTATTTCCACGCTCGATCCACGTCACGAGTCTTCAGCTTTCTCCCTCGTTCGTTCAATCCACTCAATCGATCGTTTCGATTCACGGTCACTCTCTCGTCGCGAGCATAAACAAAACGTTGCGAACGTACGCTGCGACGTATGTCCACAGTAAACAACGCGCGGCGGGGTATATGTATACCCTACTTTCGAAAGAGGCACGCGCGGACAAGTGTGTCTTCTCACCGTACTGACTTCAGGCGACTTCGGGGATTCGATCTCACCTGATCTCACCCGCGTCGCGTTGAACGTCGTGGATGCGTGGATCCCCCGATCCGATCCGGCCGGCAGACTCCTTTGTTTATCGCCGCCGTTCTCGGGGCCCCCGGCGAGCTCCGGACGCGCTTCGGTCCGGTGTGTCGCACAGTCGTCCAGTCGTGAGGTCAGCCGCGCATTTTCGAGTCAAAAAAGTCGAAACTGACGCTCGGTGCACTCGGCTTTCCCCTTTCGCTCCTTTTCACGCCTTCCGTTTTCGCCGCGCGGCGAATCTTTTCGCACAACAATCAACACGTCGCGCGCGAGAAACGAACGCCGAGAGGGAAGATCCGCGCCGACGAGAGAAAGAGAGAGAGAGACCTCGGCGCGAGAGCGACGACACTCAACAACGACGACCAGTTGCGCTTCCGCGGGACGACTGGAGTACTGGACTGCGTTCGCTCGACGCTCACGCACGGCGTTCGCGTACGGCGGCGCGCGCACCCCCACCCCCTACCATGCCGCTCTCGTTAGTCGGCTCCTTCGTTTCGCTCCTTGTATCCACGCCGCCGGCAACAGGCGCCGCGTGTCCGCGCCATGGTGACTCGTTGCTCGAGTGCTCCGAAGCTTCGTAGAATACGTGGATGCGAGCGAACGATGGCTAACACAATGAGCCTGTTGTTTTCAGCCGCGAACTTCTTCCTGCAAACTTTCGACACGTAAAGAGGTAAGGGAAAAAGTGGCACAAAGGAAAAAGGACTCGTCCGCGTGACGAATCTGTGAAAAAAAAGAAATTCGCAACGCTACGATCGTGCGGGATTCACCCGACGAATTTGTCGCGCGCGTTTGCGTTACAACGCGATCGTTTGAGACTTTTCTCATCATTTTTAATACGCGTATTTTTTTTTTTTTTTTCAATGCGATATTCGCTCTCAATAACTTCAAACAGTTGCAGTTCAAACGTGAAACGAGTGAACGGAATGTCGTACTATGTTACAATTACGCGGCGAAACACAGCACTGATAATAGCGATGAATTGATTTGGCTTCTTTGACACTCGTGATGTTCGAGCACGATCAAAATCTGCACTACTACGATGATATTTCGACGCCGCAAGCGAACGCGCGTGACGCACACGGACGGATGTGAAGATCACGTATGTAAATATCTCAATTACTACCAATTCCGTAGAATGTAATTCCGAGGTTCCGTTCAAATTCGTACTATGCAAATCGGATACGATTATCTACCACATCCTAAATCAATCGAATGCTGTTTTCTATTAAATGTAGCACTGATATGTGTAACATATACGAAATATGATACGCAAATATTCTGTAATAATTTGTGACTAATGGTTGACATACGAGTCGCAATGTTTATCAGATAATGCGGATTTGTCACATTCGATACTATATAATTTTACGTTTCATAATAGACAAATAAATACCGAATGATTGATCAGCGTGGAGTATCGAGTAATTTATTGATACGAAATATCAAATATAATTATAGAATAATATTAGTACGAAATGCTTGTATCTCGTATGGCAAATGAGACCCCGGAGGCAAGAACGCCGAGCGCAAAATGCAACGTAATTGTTTTAAACCGTAATCGCGCCCGTAGCTCGTTAGCTCGTTATTTCCGACAAATCGCGATTTTTCACGCAATCGAAATGAGATTCCGGGATTCTTGATCCGGTTCTTGGCAGGCTGCCAGATGACTCGACGAAACGCTCGCCCGTCAAGATCAGAGGGGCGCGCGCACGAGCACGATTCTTGCGGGAGGTTATTAAAATCGAATTAGAGTGTAAGCTGGCAAAAAATCGACTGGCGACGATCGAAATCAATTTTCCTGTCCCGATGCACGCGCACTCGAAACTCTCGCGTGCAACGTTAATGGATATGCGTTACCGAGAGCAGCGGGCATTAGTCAGAGAGTTTCTATGGCGACTTGCGCTCGTGAAGGAAAAAAATTAGTCACCGATGCGAGACTGGCGATTACACGAACAGCGGCATAACTTATTAGACAGTAGATTTATGACCGGTACACTTACGTCGTGTTTTCGCTATACGTACACTCGTAATTGCAATTCTGTGAAGTCAGCACCTTGTTTTTAAAATCATAATTAATGGAGTTCTGTCTTCTCCAGAGTAAGAGTTTTAGAATTGATTAAGAAATAAATTAATATTTTAATTTCAGAATTTCGATACAAATAGTATTTTAAAATTGGAATGTTTTTTGCGTTATTTATTTCTTAATTAATTTTTCACATTTATTTGTCTAATACAAAACGTAAAATTATAGAGTGCTATAATTTGACTTTTGAGAGTCTTATATGACATGAAATGTGTGATTTTCCGTACATCACTTCTGTCATAATTTATTAGTAACAAAATCGTTGAATTAAAACGTGTAATAAGCTCGTATAAATTTATAGACTATCTTGCTGAGTGACCGATTAATTTTCTTCGCATTTCTATCGAGCGATTTCCAAGAATCGAGTATTTTTTTCCGGTTACGTATGCGCAACCACGTGTTGCGTGTGTGTGAAACCACTGTTGGGTATCTCCGCGTAAACAATAACAATTCACGTCGACGTGAAGATTTTGTGAGCCGTCTTTCTACGCGCAATCTGTGCGAGCATAACGCTTGTTTCTGATTATAGCCTCTCATCAAAACAATTAAATGCTATATATAATTATTTCCTCGTCGTTACGGTACTGTATACCGTACGTTCCGCCAACATTTTTCTGACAGAAAAAAAAGCACGGGGAGAAATTCAATCGTGTAAAAATCAATAATGGATTATTGTCTTCTCCATAAAACAAAATTTTTGCAATCATTCTCTTTTCATCAATTCCGTACTTTTTTGTGTAAGAATATTCGTAACATTAAAGAAATAGAAATTAACGCGATATGAATCTCAATCGGAAATGCGTACATGCATGTATTGCATTGAATATAATTATAAATATTGCAATAAATACACATATATTTTATAAATAAATTTGATAAAATATCACATTCACGTGTTCTTTCATAAAATATATTCCTATTTAAAAAAGAAATTTTTTCAAATGCTCGTAAGACTTTCGTATGTGGTATATATGAAGGAATATGATTTTAAAATTGGTGCGTAAAACCGAGCGGAACATCGAGGCTGGATTTTACGACGCCTGTCACAGAAACCGCGTGTGGCGTGGAAACCACCAGGTCTGGCCAAGATCAGAGAGAGGATTCCCCAGATAGACGCCTGGATACGCGCCCGTTCCATACTGCCCCTGTTTTCCATGACACGGGGGCCACCCACGCTAATTAGTCCATTATCATTGCGCGGCCGTCACTACCGTCAACTCGTCGTCACTCGCGTTTACCGTTCCTCGCGGTGGCGTCGACGGTAGACGTAACTTTAATGACGGTGTACCTAAGGCGTGACCGCGTATGTGTCTCGTACCCTTTCGGAGCGCGTGGATTGCTAACGACGCTCGTTAAATCGTGTACACACGGCAGAAGCCTGCGCGCGTCCGGGAACAAGCGGCTAAATTGATTTAACGCGAATTTCCCCGAGTAGGAATATCGGGAATCGACGTCGTCTACGATCGCTGATGCTCTTGGCGACGCGACGAAGAATAAGGAGAGAACTGGAAAAAGTAACGCAATAAAATATGACAATGCAATAAAAAAAAAACTATAACGAAATTATCCCACGTTATTCAAAGATCGTTCTCAGTCCTAAATTTATTTGCGATGAGAAGCGGGAACAAATGGATTCATTCTCCGTTCTGCACGCGTTTCGCGAATAATGGAAGCGCGCTCGTTCGACACCAGGGTGATAATTCGCCCTGGCCTTCGCTTCATCGCTTCGGGGCGTCGTCCCCCGGTCTCGTGGGACACTGTATGACGAGGATCCTTCCGTGCGTCGTCGTGGCGACACGACCCGGCGCACCCATCGTCACCACGTGGCGCGGGCACGGACCGTCGGCGCGTGCCGGGCGCGTTTAATTTCGCTAAAACCCGGCGCGAATAATAAACTGTCGACAGCGGCGATGAAAGCGGCAAGACGGCGACGGCCTGGACGGCAAGGTCTATACGATGGTTGTATTCGAGGGAGAGGATTTACCGCGCGTGTGGGCGTCCGCCGTGTGGGAGTGCCGCCGGACGGGGGGGAGAGATGGGAGACACATCGGATGGACAATACAGCGTGCCACATACAGCGTGCGTGTGTGGGTCGTGGTTTCCTCCCTGGAGCTGAAACTCAGAATTCAGAAATCGGTAGCGATAAAAGGAACAGGCGACAGTTTGGAGGACAGCGCGACGGGAGGGGCGAGGGAAGTGGCTTGGGCGTAGGACGCGCGGACCTGATTAACTTCCTCATCTGCTAAATGCGCTACATTGACGCTGATAAGGAACGCGTCGTAGAAACGGTCGAAATTTGTTCTCGAGCGAATTCCTTGGAGAGCAGATAGATAAATTGGAGAGAAATAAATTATACGAAGAATTGGGGGGTGGGGGGAGACGCAAAAAAGTTCGGTGAATAATGTTTACGCAGGCTATGTTAATTAATCCGATAAGTTCGAGTGAAAGAGGTAAGGTCTCTCGAAGATAGATCAAACAGCGCAACATTTCGCTAATTAGTTAATCCTATCGAACGGCACTTTGAAGGTTTCCTCGTAAAGCACTAGCGCAGCTGTCCTCGAGCAATTTAATTACGTAAGCGCCGCGAAAAAAAAAGTCTTATCGAAAACTTGCATCTACAGAACGACGTCGAGTGTTCGCGTAACTTTCGTATAGCAACTGCGAGAAAATTACCGAACAGTAAAACAATCTTTATTTACACAATCGTGTAATATGATTCAGTACGGTATGCTAAATTCCTGCTGTACTTCTGCTTCCTTCTTCGATTCAGGTAGCTCGTAGAAGTCGTCCTCTTCCTTCGTCTCGTGAATATCGAATATCGGTATCGGTTTCGACTTCCGTATTGCCCTCTCTATTTTTCGCAATACCGCAATTTCATCCGGAGTGCTTATAAAATTGTCCACTCTGCAGTCCTTAACGCTACCGACTCTTCCGGTTCTACCACATCTGAAACCATGTTACAAACTGTCATATTTATACGTATAAAATATATTAAATTTGTATATACGAAACTTCTATCGCAGCTTCGTATTGTTGTTTCAAGTGCGTAAACACATATGCATCGGATTTGCAAGAGACACGATAAATACAGTAGATATTGATAGCGCACCTGTGAATGTAGTCGGCGGTCGCAGTTGGAAATTCGTAGTTCAGCACGTGGCGTACCGTCACGGTGTCCAAACCTCTAGATCCGGCGTTTGTAGTGCACAACACATGGCACTTCCCACTTTTGAAGCTGGAGTATTTGTTTTGCCTGTCGTACAACGGCATGTCGCCGTTCAGAGGTACCGTTTGTATGTTGCTATTGTTCAGGAACATGCTGACCCAATTGCAAGTGCTGTTGTTATTGTTAAAGATAATAACTTGCTGCTTGCCGGCTACTTTCGGTTTAATATATTTCAGAAGTTGGGTCGGTTTGTCGCTTGGTCCTATTCTTATAAATTTTTGCGGCACGAGAATGTGATGCAACTTATCAGAAGTCACGTGTTCCAACGATTGCACCTGCAAAAAAATAAAAAATAAAAAAATAACGCACGATCCAATCTAATGTTATCTTAATTTCGAGAATATCTTAATACCGCCTTACATCTATGATATTCTTCAAAACCTCTGACATTCTTGACGGCATTGTTGCAGACGCTAATGTGAATTGGGCGCTCATTGGTAATGTGTTATCTTCCACATTTTGTACAAAACCGAGCTGAGAATAGTATTATATTATTGCTTTTAGATAGTATATTATATTAGATTCTTTTTTATAAACGTTAAAAAAAACAAACATACTGGCACCCTCTTCAAGAATACTTGCAGCTGTTCTTCAAACGTCTCATGAAATAGAGCATCCGCTTCGTCCAATACAATGTGTCTAACCATGTTCAATTTATAAATCTTGGTTGTAGTCAACTTGCTGATGACGCCAAAACTAGCTACAACGATGTCGACTTCGCCCACAGGTGGGTCTAACATCATCTTTTTTGTCTTCCCACCGGTAATGGTTTTTGTGCTAATACCGAGATACTGGCATATCTTTTTCGCTTCCAACTGTGCAGAGAAACGTGTGATTTAAAGATGCAAAACCTCAAAATGAAAAACTTTACATTTGTGATACAAACCCCTATTTGAAACGCCAATTCTCGAGTAGGCGTCACGATCAGTCCCAACGGGGAATTGTAGCGGACCCCCGTTAACTGTTTCCATTTCAAAACTTCGTCTATCATCGGCAGAAGGTACGTTAATGTCTTCCCACAACCGGTTTCCGCCGCTATGACGGTATTAGCGCCGTTTATTATCTTGGGTATCCCAATTTTCTGTATCTTCAGGGGTTTCGTTATACTGTATCTTTTCAGGATATCTACTAGCTGTCCATCAAAGCCAAAATGCGCAAAAGAATCATCCGCTTCTTCCTCCCCTTCATTCTTTTTTTTAAACGATTCGCCGTACGCCTCTTTGTTAACCTAAAAGTTTCAAAGCACACGTACTAAAGGAATTATGAAATAAAAGCGACACGGGGGAATAACAGAAACCTAATGAATTGTAAGACGTACGTTCGTGAGTGGATACACGTAGAAATAATCCCCTTTAGACTTGTAATGATGCCATCCATCGGTAATCAGTGGTATCGGTACGTATTTGGGATACGTTTGCCCTTCATAAAAGTTGAACTCCTTCCGTTTGCTGACGATTATCGGCGTCTTCCCCTTTACATCTTTTGGTGCCTCGACGCGCTTGACATTACCTTTCTTTTTAGAACCCTTTCTCTGTGCGGAACACATTAGCTCGATGTATACACTGTTCGTACGATGATATAAACAACAGGGGAACAAAGTGTTATACTTACGTAGCACCTCTGCGTGAACTGAATATATCCGGTTCTGTGGCACAAATTACAAAATCTGGAAAACATTTCTCTACAATTAAATTGTGCTTTACGCGAACAAGCGTTGCCGAGAGCACGCGGTATATACTAGGCCATTGATATCTTGAATGCCGGGTGACGACGGTTTCTTTAAATCATGAATGATGTGACATTAACAAACAATTGATTCACAAACGCATAAGAAACTACTTCCTAAAAGATTGCGTATAAAATGTTTATGTTTTTTTTTAATGTAAACGTTCCATTTAGTTATGAGGTTATCGGTTATAGAACAGACCACAGTGGAACGTCTCGCGAGTCTCGTGATCCTCGCGTTTTAGGTTAGGTCGTCACGTGCACCAGTGCGCCTCTATGTGTACAAGGCGTGCACGTTGAACTACTTTAACCGTGTCCACGAGTGCATCCGATAACATGTTACATATCATATGAACATCGTTGGTTCTGTTCCGTGCTATATCCATAAAGAGATATGTATGCATGTAAAACATGATTAAATTCATTAAATGTATATCAACCGTTTTTATTGAATAAAAATGTAGTTAGAGAATAAAACTTCTAATTCTAGTTAATTAGAAGAATTCAAAATGTATCGTAATGATATATGTATATGTGTATACATATATATATTATATATATGTATATATATATACATATATACATATATACAAAATATTCAAATATTAAACAATTTTATTACATTTTTTGTAATGTTATATTTTGTGTTGTATTATATTACAATTATATTTATTCACATTTCTTGTTGATTACTTCTTGTTCTACTAATTATAATGTTTATCATTAGTTTTAAAGTATCATTAAAATACAATAAATTAACATCTGCTTACATGAAATGTTACGAGTACGTGTAAAAAAAAAGAGGAAAATAACTGACATTTTTTCCCTAAATTTCTGATATATTTTTTAGTTAATATATATTTAAATAAAAATAATTTAATGAAAAAAGTAGCAATATACAATTATTTAAATTTAATTTGTGCTTAAAGTTACTATATAGAAACAAAATTTTTCACATTAATTATTTCTTAATAAAGAAAATT